CACCATTCCACCCTCACCCGTCTCCTCGTCCTCCCAACCATTCCCCACTCCAACGTCCCCTTGTCCTCCCCACCATTCCACCCTCACCCGTCTCCTCGTCCTCCCAACCATTCCCCACTCCACCATCCTCTCATCCTTCCCACCATGCCCCACTCCCCTGTCCCTTTGTCCTCCCCACCATTCTCCATTCCCCCATCCCCTCGTCCCCACCATCTCAAACTCCCCCATCCCCTCGTCCTTCACCACCATTACCCACTCCCTTGCCTCCTCATCTGCCACACCATCTATCACTTCTGTCCCCTCATCGTCACCATTTTACCTCAATAAACTTATTTCAATTTCAATTTCAACCACTTCCTCGTCCGATGCCTTCCCAAATGGTTTGATGTTCTCATCAGAAAATTGGGAACATCAAGTGATCTGATGTTCCCATCACTGAGATGTAAGAAAACAGTTAAAAAATGAAACGAAAATATAACAAAAAATATAAAAATAAGCTATACTCACGAAATGAACGGTATGGTAAACAACACAGCTCAATTCCAACGCAATTCACACAAAATAATTAAATCTAAATGAAAATAAATCAAAATCTATGAAAATTCAATTTATCAGTGCAATCAGAAACATTGAAATCGAATTGTAACATATCTATTATAACATGTGTGTTGTTCTTACATGCAACAGATGGAATTTCCTTAAGTACTTTCGTATATTAATACATCTTCAGAAGGAGTTGTTTTACAGGTCAAGTACTGGACATAAATAGGCAGGAGAGAATGGTGGAGTGAAGTGAGGTACAATACGTGGACACTGCAGAGGGCCTATTGGCCCATCCGATGCAGCAACACCCACAGGCCCACATATGGATAATCATAGCATAAAATAGTAAATATTTACAATGAATTAGTGAGACAAATGTGTTCCAATGATCCTACTTAAATCGCCCTTTAATTGATCTATAATAAATGGATCTAAGTTATATAAACCACTGCTAATGTTCAAATTACTTTCTTTTGTGATCTGTATCAAAACAGATTCAATTATGTTTCTGTTATTGGTGCTTTTACAATTCGTTATTGAAGAAGCCATCTCCAAATTCTGACAGATGAACAAACAAAGCATTAGACTATTGGCAATGTCTTACAGAGTATTTATGTTGCGAAATTCTACATTTCAAATCTTTAGATGTTTGCCCAACATAGAACTTATTACAGGCTTTACAAGGTATTTTATAAACGACACATTTATCACTACGAGGGCTGTTCCTAACTAATAGCTTACCAACAGTATTTTCGTAACTAAACAATACATGTATATTAACAAGTTTCAAGGCCTTGACAATATTCTCAAACCCAGAGAAATATGGTAAACATAACACATTCTTTGGGCGAATTCTTTCACTGCATACATTATTATAATATGTACGACGTGCTTTGTTACGGCAAACTTCCAAAAAACTCAGTGGGTAACAAAGCTTGAGACCAATCGAATCAATATTCTTAAACTCTTTGTCTAAGAATTCTGGACTCACAACTCGAAGAGCTCTTAGACACATTGAAGGAAAAATTGACTTTTTCACATTGTATCTATGCCCTGAAAAGTAATGAACATAAGATAAATTATTCGTAGGTTTTCTGTAGACACTAAACTTTAGTGAAAAATCTTCCCTATGAATAAGTACATCTAAGAATGGCAAACATTTATCAATTTCAGTCTCCATAGTAAATTTTAGAGGTGACTTGGTCATTAAGTTTGGCTACAAAATCGAGTGCTTACATCAGTAGGCCATATACACAAAATATAATCAACATATCTTAACTATGGAATGATTCCAGGAGGTTTTTTTGAAACAAATTTCTTTTCAAAGAATTCCATGTACAAGTTTCAAAGCAATGGCGATAAAGGATTCCCCATTACCATTCCAAAAGTCTGTAAATAATACTCATTATTAAAGGTAAATTTACATTCTATTATGCACAACTTAACAAGATTGACAATAATACCAGCAGAAAGAGGTAAAACATGATTCATTAGTTCACGAGCAAAATAATCGAGAATATCATCAACCGGTACCTTTGTAAACAAGGAACAAACGTCAAACCTGATTAACTTTACTTCAGGAGTGACAGGAACATTATTCAATTTGTTAACTAATTCAAGAGAATTTGTCAAATGAGAAGAGGAAATAAGTTCCTAACAATGGGGACAAGATTTTGGTAAGCCATTTGGAAAGCTTGTAAGAAATGGATCCCACAGAACTGATGATAGGTCTCATGGGATTGTTAGGTTTATGCGTCTTGACAAGTCCATATAGATATGGTAATGAAGGTGATGAGGTAATAAATTGATTAAGAAGATCTTTATGTTTACTTAACATCTTCCTCAAGCTGCTATTGAAGAACTTGATGATGTCCTCAAGAGGATTTTTCCTGAGTTTAGTGTATGTTGAAGAATCTAGGAGGAGATCATTCATTTTCGAAATATATTCCTCCTTGTTTAGAATAACAACAGTGCTGGATTTATCAGCCTTTGTTATATGAATGGAAGGGTCGGCTCTTAACTCCTGTAAGCTTCGTCTGAACCTTTCAGGAAAATTGTTTGTTTGAGGCGTCAACATTGAACCATAAACAATACCTTTAACCAGGTTTAGGTTTTGTGGAGAAAGATAGTTTTGTTTTTCAAGCTGTAACAATGAACTAGCAATCTTAACTGCAGAAGGTTGATTTGAAATGGCAAATGACATACCATAACCCAAAGCAGTAACCACATTTTCAAATATCGTCTTGGATGACAAATTCAACACGTTGTTTGGATTGGATTTCTTTGTCCAATCACTATTTTTAATCAGGCTTTCTAACTTGCGCTTAAGAATTTTCTGTAACTGATTAATTTTTCTGCGTAAGTCACTATATATTTCATCCATTAGAAGATTTTTCCAGTCCAAAGGTATTGTGTGATGAAAGTTTCTTTTTACTGTATCCAGGCTTTTGAAAACAAAACGTTCACTTGATTTTGTAACTTCAATGTGTTTTTTCAAAATGGTAGCACAGAAATCACTGAACGGTTCATCACCCAATTTGAGGAGACGGGCAGGTAGCCGAGACTTGGGTAAAACTTGCTCACCAAGACATTGTTTCAGGAATTTGAGATGGGTGCGGGTGCAGTGGGCTTTCACTAGTAGAGTAGCGAAGGTGGCCACGAAGGAAGCAGTCTGAGAGAACAGCATAGCGAAAGAGAACGTGGTTCTCATTATGTGTGTATATCACGAAAATAAACACGTGATGAAAAATGTGACAGTGTCAGACCACGGAGGAAAATTGAAACAGGAATTTCCTTAAGTACTTTCGTATATTAATACATCTTCAGAAGGAGTGGTTTTACAGGTCGAGTACTGGACATAATAAGGCAGGAGAGAATGGTGGAGGGAAGTGAGGTACAATACGTGGACACTGCAGAGGGCCTATTGGCCCATCCGATGCAGCAACCACACACAGGCCCAAACATGGATAATCATAGCAAAAAATTTTAAATATTTACAATGAATTAGTGAGACAAATCAAGCATCTAAAGTGAATTAATGAGACAAATCAAACATCTAAAGATTTGAAATGTAGAATTTCGCAACATAAATACTCTTTAAGACATGACCAATTGTCTAATGCTTTGGTTTTTCATCTGTCAGAAGATGCTCATCAAATTGATTGGGAGATGGCTTCTTCAATAACGAATTGTAAAAGTACCTATAACAGAAACATAATTGAATTTGCTTTGATACAGATCACAAAATAAAGTAATTTGAACATTAGCAGTGGTTTATATAACTTAGATCCATTTTTAATAGATCAATTAAAGGGCGATTTAAGTAGGATCATTGGAACACATTTGTCTCACTAATTCATTGTAAATATTTACTATTTTGTGCTATGATTATCCATATGTGGGCCTGTGGGTGTTGCTGCATCGGATGGGCCAATAGGCCCTCTGCAGTGTCCACGTATTGTACCTCACTTCCCTCCACCATTCTCTCCTGCCTATATATATATATATATATATATATATATATATATATATATATATATATATATATATATATATATATATATATATATATATATATATATATATATATATATATATATATATATATATATATATATATATATATATATATATATATATATATATATATATATATATATATATATATATATATATATATATATATATATATATATATATATATATATATATATATATAATTTATGCAACAATGATCACCAAAACACTAATCCAATAATGCGGAAAAACCACATTTACTACATGTGATTTTTCCTTGGAAAAATGTGTTTTTTTTCCGCATATATAATTTATATACTGCTACAAGAATTAACTCAGGGAATAAGATGAAGAGTAAATCCCAAAATGGAAACAAAATTCGGAGGTGAATGATGTTCGTAGTCATAACGAAGGTGAAAGTTCTCGTGAATGTGAAAATTAAGGCGACGGTGAGTCATGATAATGATAAACATACATAGTAATTGTGAGACTTATGCTAAAGGTGAGTAGTGGTGAAGTCCAATCAACGATCCAATAGCAGACATCACTAAGCTTTGTTCTCATTCGAAATGACTCGGTTTGGTTTGGTGTTGCGCGTAAAGCCTATCATTATCGTCCAGGGGAGTCAAGGCCGCCACACAGGTCTACTGGCCACCCAACAAGAACACCTCAGTCCTAAGGATGGTGCGGGACTAGAGCGTGCTCGTGCTCACAGTGTACACACCGTAAAGCCTGAAAGACTTCTCACTTCTCATGGGGACAATAGCTTGATATATGATATTGACTGAGATCACAAAGCATATAAAAGACGTGTTATATCCTGTCATATACCTGTTATATTACAGTGGATATAACAGAAAACGTCATAATTCACTTAATCGTAACTCGTCCCATATGCTTTGAGCAGATGCTTTTAAATACGTATATTTAATATAGAGGTATTATGCATGGATAGTTGTAACTAATTTCCTGGCGCAGTCTCCCGGATGTACATTTGTGCTAAAGTTGAATATCTGTGTGAGCGTTGACTGCACGCTTTGTAGAGATGGCAGGGACATGGGGGAGGAAGGAGGAGATGGCAGGGACATGGGGGAGGAAGGTGGGGATGGCAGGGACATTGGGGAGGAAGGTGGAGATGGCAGGGACATCGGGGAGGAAGGTGGGGATGGCAGGGACATGGGGGAGGAAGGTGGGGCTGGCAGGGACATGGGGAAGGAAGGTGGGGATAGCAGGGACATGGGGGAGGAAGGTGAGGATGGCAGAGACATGGGGGAGGAAGGTGGGGATGGCAGGGACATGGGGGAGGAAGGTGAGGATGGCAGAGACATGGGGGAGGAAGGTGGGGATGGCAGGGACATGGGGGAGGAAGGTGGGGCTGGCAGGGATATGGTGGAGGAAGGTGGGTATAGCAGGGACATGGGGACATGGGTGAGGAAGGTGGGGATGGCAGGGACATGGGGGAGGAAGGTGGGGATGGCAGGTACATGGGACATGGGGGAGGAAGGTGGGGATGGCAGGGACATGGGGAAGGAAGGTGGGGATAGCAGGGACATGGGGGAGGAAGGTGAGGATGGCAGAGACATGGGGGAGGAAGGTGGGGATGGCAGGTACATGGGACATGGGGGAGGAAGGTGGGGATGGCAGGGACATGGGGGAGGAAGGTGGGGATGGCAGGGACATGGGGGAGGAAGGTGAGGATGGCAGAGACATGGGGGAGGAAGGTGGGGATGGCAGAGGCATGGGGGAGGAAGGTGGGGATGGCAGGGACATGGGGAGGAAGGTGGGGATGGCAGGGACATGGGGAGGAAGGTTGGGATGGCAGGGCCATGGGGACATCGAGAAGAGAGGTGGGGATGGCAGGGACATGGGGGAGGAAGGTGGGGATAGCAGGGACATAAGGGACATGGGGAGGAAGGTGGGGATGGCAGGACATGGGGGAGGAAGGTGGGGATAGCAGGGACATGGGGGAGGAAGGTGGGGATGGCAGGGACATGGGGACATGGGGGAGGAAGGTGGGGATGGCAGGGACATGGGGGAGGAAGGTGGGGATGGCAGGGACATGGGGGAGGAAGGTGGGAATGGCAGGGACATGGGGGAGGAAGGTGGGGATGGCAGGGACATGAGGGAGGAAGGTGGGGATGGCAGGGACATGGGGGAGGAAGGTGGGGATGGCAGGGACATGGGGGAGGAAGGTGGGGATGGCAGGGACATGGGGACATGGGGGAGGAAGGTGGGGATGGCAGGGACATGGGGGGAGGAAGGTGGGGATGGCAGGGACATGGGGGAGGAAGGTGGGAATGGCAGGGACATGGGGGAGGAAGGTGGGGATGGCAGGGACATGGGGGAGGAAGGTGGGGATGGGTGGGACATGGGGGAGGAAGGTGGGGATGGTAGGGACATGGGACATGGGACATGGGGGAGGAAGGTGGGGATGGTAGGGACATTGGGAAG